TTAAATTCAGTTATGAAAACTTACCTACGAAAAAAGCTAACATAGACAACTCATCGCTTACGTTATATAGAGCCAAAATAAGGTACTGCAAAATCGGAAATAGACATTGGCAAATGGAAAGTGGAAATGACACGCGCGACGCAGAGCGGCATTGGAAAGGTTGGACCTCGGATCGTAATCGCAGTATCGGAGCACAGAAAAAGAGCAATAGAGTTCAAGGAGATACCAACTAATCGTAATCGTACTTCACACAAAATACACAATCACTTGGGCTTGGAGCCCAAACACCTAGTTGGACTGCTGCTGCTGCTGGCCTTGCTGCTGCTGTGGCGGCTGTCCCTGACTAAAGTAGGGTGCGGTGTTTGGCGTGAGCAGCGTGTGACAGATATCACAGACTCGGGCCACTCGCTTCCGTGGTCCAGATGGCACCGTTTTCGTTAGACACTTATCGCAGTAGATGTGGCCGCAGTGCCGGCAATGGATTTTGCGCACCATGACCGTGAAATAGGCATTGCACGTGGGACAGTTGTTCACATCATCGTCGTCCTGCCAGCGCACCTCCGTATCGGCATGCCGCAGCTCCTCCAACGACATCTGCGGCACAACACAATGTAATTAATTAAGTGAATAAACCATACATTTTTATATCGCACTCACCTGAAGAGTTTGAGATAGTTTGACAAAGTCCTTTTGAACTGTCTCCATAGTGGACAGTTCCTCCTGCAGTGTTTTTATCTTCGTCTTGTAGTCCGCATTTGTCTTGGCATACTTTTCCTATAATGTAATCTGGTTAAGAAGGATGCTATTGTGACAACTAAATATGACAACTTACATTGGCCTCCTGCAGCTCAATAATTTCCACGCGACTCTCGGAGAGCTGTTTATTTAGCTCAGCCTCTTTGCGCTCCAGTTGGGTTTTGCTAGTCTCGTGCGCTTGTACCGTGACCAAGTGCTCCGTCACCCGATCCCTGGGAAGTCATTTAAAACGTGAGCCAAAGTGTAAACCACCCTCGACAGAGGCTGTAACTTACTGCAGTGACTTAATATCTAGTTGCATTTTGCGCTTGTAGGCCCGCCTTTCGTTGTTGCTCTCCTCCAGCTGGGCCCGCAAGATCTGAATCTCATCTTCAGTGCTAGTGCACTTCTGTCGCTCGTACTCGCTGCTGACACGTGCTTGGATCAGTTCGCTTTGTTGTCGCAATATTAGCACGTGAAGCTCGTCGACCGTGTTGGGCAGATTGATATATTGGTTGTCGATCTCCTCGGACGTAGCCAAATAGCGCCCGGACAAAAAGTCGTTGTCCGCTTGCAACGTCTCCAGTTGCTTGTTGACCCGCTCTCGGTCGTCGGAGACGCGTTGGATCTGCTTAATGACCTCGTCCTTGGTCTCGAGAAACTTTTGCTGCATGTCCAGCAGTCGCTGCTCGTTAGTTTTGGCCTGGTCACGCAGGCTTTGTACTTCGCTTTTGTGGGCTTCCCGCTTTTCTTGCCACTGGTCCTCCAGATCCTTGCGCAGCGCCGCCTCCTTGACCAAAGTCTCCCGTGATTCCACCAGCTGCTTTTGCAGCAGATCCACCTGTTTCTGTTGTTTGTTTATATGCGCACTCAGCTCTTCGGTCTTCTTTTCTGCCGAGCTGCACGACTCGCATGCGCTCTCGGCGACGTCCATGGACGTGGACTTGTGCAGTGCGGATTCATCGGACGCCGACTTGGCCTGCAGTTGCTCGTCCTGTTCGCGCAGTTTCACTTTCAGGGCCTTCATTTCTTCCTGAAGCTGCTCGACGATTGAGTGCATCATCTCCGCCTCCTCAGGAGCCTGTCAAAAGGCTCAATTAATTTGATAATAGAAAAATCAGTCACAGATACATACGTATTGCTTGCCATTGCCCTTGCTGGATGCGCGGATGTCCTCGTCCTGCTGAAAACTGCTGTTCAGGGAGTCGGTGCCCAGTTTGCGCACAGAACCTAGTGTCTTCTTGACCTGATTCAACACCTGCGGCGCTATTCCGCCAGATGACTCGGCCTGTGGTTGTTGAGCCAGCATCTGCGTCTGCTGGTACTTCGCCAACTCAAGCCTGAGCCTTTCCTGCTCGCCTTTGTAGTGGGCGGACTCCTCAATGGTGTCCTGCACCAGCTGCTGCAACGACGAGATCTCTTCCTGTGCCTTGAGGTCCCTCAGCTGCAGTTCGTTCTGCGACTTCAGGTCCGCCACCATTAGGTGCGTCTTCAGCTCGTCCAGCTCCGCCTGCAGCTGCCGCCGCTCCTGCTGGCTTTGGCTGACCTCCGCCTCCTTCTGGATGTACAGCTCCCGCATCTTCGCTCGCTGCGTATTGAACTCGTTCTGCATTTTGCGCATTTCGTTCTGCAGGTGACTGAGTTTGTGCTGGCTGGTCGCGTCATCCTCACCTGCCGTTGGAGTTTTGGGTTAATTCTCGGCTGTGCGGGCACCCAGTGCTGCTGCCTTACCATTGGCCAGGTCCGTGGGGTCTCTGGCCTCCGATCGGGTCTCGTTTTCTTCCATTTTCTATATTGTGTGATGGCTAATTTAATAGTTTATATATACATATGTGAGGGCACCAATTAGAACATATACATTTTGGCGCTCTCCAACACTACTTGCTGTGTTACCATATTTGAGTTATACCGATAGTTAATACTTCAGTATTATTTGGCAGTGCGGTTAAAAAAGATTTTTCGAAATCGATCTTTTCTAAGCTTAAATTAAATATTTTTGGGCATATGTTATTCTTTATTATATTATTATTTATAGAAAATGATGTTCGATTGCCAATGACATCTAATTTTACTACACTTAATATTATAAGCACTACAAATAACACTTTATAAAAACCGGTTTTTAAGATAGAACTAAGAATCATTAATATGCATATACTTTGAATATATATACGCCCTGAGTCCTTTTAAATCACTTACTGGAGATGTTCCTAGAATGTTTTCTTATCATTCCCTTTATCTTATAAACTAAAAATAGAAACAAAACAAATGAGTAAAGAAAATAAATAGAAAGAAAAACATAATACAAACATTTTTAAAATTTGTATAACTTTATTAAATGCATTTTATTCGTTCAATTTTCTTTATTATTCAATATCTTTAGTATTTCCAAGAAAGTGCTTCACCATTTGCGTGTAAGCAAAGTGACAACGACAGAAAATATTAGACACAATTCTATGAAAAGGTAAATGACTGCCGGACATGAATGACTAATACCATCCGATCTTTAATTTTATGCTAATTATTAAGCGCCAGAAATCGAAAACGCTGATTAATTATGAGAGGAAAATGTCTATTTCATTAATGCCGGCCAAGCTAATGAGAAATCATATTTAAATATAACAATAAAAGAAACTACATATTTGAGATAAGAGAACTACGCGTTAACCAGAACAAAACTCGATTTCAGAATTTCGGCATCGGCAAGCGACCCAAACACACATGTATGTCTGTAATTATAAAATTACCATGGTTGTACACTGATAAAGAATTGTGATATTTAATAGAAAACATTTTATTTAAATGGTATAAAGTGCTTGATACGCTGTAAGTCATGTTAATTTGAAACGATCGTTAACTTTCTTATAGTCAATAACATTATTATAATCATATTCAAGCTTTCCATAAATTATTTTTTTTTTGCCAGTGTACGCTGAGATCGGTTGGCTCTTCTTGGTTCTGTTGGGAGGCTTGTGAGCTCATGACTTTCGATGTCGTCATAGTCGGCAGCCGGAGATACAAATACCACAGCATTATGCCCAGCGACAACAGTAGCGATGTTGGCCAAAATATTTGGCGTCTGTTCAGTTCGCATTGGATTCAGGAACGAGGCGGTCGGAAGCGGGAAAAAAGAACAGCCAGCATCGGGAAAAGTACGCGAAGAAATAAATACGCGGCGCCTTGGAATCGCGACGGCATTTCTACTTATAAACTTAAAAATAATACAAATATATACATAAGTACTACCGCCACGAAATATATGTGAACGGAACTTGAATAATGACTATAAAGTGCCCAATGTTTTGAGTTCTAGTGAATATCAGTTAGAGATAAAATTTGAAAGAGAATCCATACAGATTCCCAGTTAGACCAAGTCCACGACCATGTCGCAAACCCAGAGCATAACACCCATTCCCAGCACTCCGCCGCCCTCCCGAAGGGCCAACCGCCCGCCCAGGATCAATATCCACAACCTGACCAGTGGGTCGGCAATGAGCCAGGCATCGATGCCACCTAGCGCCCAGCCACCCTATACGGCGCAAACGAACTTCACGGGCAATGGAACACAGGGCCCCTACTGGCCACCAATGGCCAATCCCTTCGGATACGGGAACTTCATGACCAAGGGCTACGAGGGCTTCCTCGATATCACAAAGTCGGGCTTGAGCTTCGGCGAGAAGATGACCTTCGGCATGTATAAGTGGTCGCGCCGGTGGTTCACCCACATCTTCCTAATCGTCATCCTGGCCCTATACAACGTCGGTGGTGCCGTTCTATTCCGCACAATCGAAGGTGAGAACATCCAGCTTCTATGGATCAATTCGCTTATCAACTACGTGTAGATAAGGGGCTTCCATTAGCTTTACTCTAGAAACAAATTCATTAAGATGCAGCCAAAAATGTAAAGATTTTCAAGATAGACGCATGATGAAGTGCTCTGAATGGGATTGTTTGCTTATCAAGCTCTTCGGCAATTGTTTGGAAAATAGTAAACAGTTCAGTTTCCAGACATTCAAATAAATACACCTGCGCTGTATTGTAATCGTAAAAACATCCCCATCAATTTGGCAGACGACTGATTTCAGTATCCGAGTCCATGGCACACTTAAAAAAACAATCAATAATTATAGTATTCAATTCAAATTTCATTATGTTGAAGAAATTGAAAATTGAATCTTTGAAAAATTTGCTTGAATTCGATTTGGAGTAAAAATGATTTATATTCTATGGCTTAAATGCTTTCGATATCAATTTAAATATCTAAATTACAATTTTGTTATCAGTGTAGGTACATAGATACACCAATTTTATTATTCTGGATGAATCACATCTGCGAGGGGAGCAATATGTCGGGTAAACAACCAAGACGTCCAGTTGCAGATGATTAACGGGCGGATGGAGGAGTCCCGCATCGGGGGCTTCTCCACGGACTGGTCGCTCCAATGAAAAGCTTCTCAGTTCGATGCAGCAAAGGCCTTTGATTCATTGTGTTCTACGTGAAGTGTTAAATGCATAGCCAAATAAACAAAACTCATTTTCCCTTTCAGTTCGTCACGCAAATCAGGAAAAGCTGGTGGTGCAGGATCAGCAAAAGAATTTCTTTAACGAAATGCATCGGGTTTCCAATGATCTCAGCGCGGTGAGACCTAATAGGGATATATATTGCTGTCAGATAATCAATAATTTTGTGGTTTTTTCAGTTGAGCAAACTTGAATTCGAGGGCCAGGTGCTGCGCATAATGAACTCCTATCCAACGGTGGTACAATCACTGTTGCGAACTGGAATGGTCGATAATACGGATCCCTGGTCCTTCTGGGATGCCATGGTCTACTCCGCAACCATTTACACGACCATAGGTGAGTTAAGCTAGAAGATTCCTCCTCCATCTTGCCGAGTTTCGGTGGCATCCAAGTGTATTGCCAGTGCAAAGACTCCCACGCAGATAAGATATACATATACACATATCACTTCTTAGGACGCAAGACGGTCTATTTATGTTGTGTTTTCTTCATTGTTAAGCCAACGAAATTTGTGACACAAAAGATGGAAATAGTTTCAAATATTTTTGAGATCGTCGGCATTTGTGGGATAACAAATTTTTGTCTCTTCTCGTGCAGACAATTATAATATTTCTCAAGAGTATTCGAAATTCTTTGGAATACTGTCACTTTTCTCAATTGAGACTTGTAAATAGCTCACGAAACGCAATTTCACCTTAAGAAAGAATTTTCCCGAATTATCGCTCTACACATTCTTGATGAAATTGTTTCATTTCACTTTTAATTGCAAAAGACTCTTCACGACCATAAACATGCCATGAAAATGGAAATGAATTCGACCGATTTGTTCGGTGCGCATTTAATCATAATTTAAGCGATTGTTATTTTTTAAGAATTTATGTTTCACATTCATGATGCGGTTAGTTAATGGCTTGATAGCCCCCCTTATGCGATTATATCGCTTTTTGGATTTGTTCTAAATTTAATGTTTCGCCCGCCGACTTGTTAAACTTTCAGTAAGATAAATGGAAATATGGCGAGAGTATTTCTGGTAAATAAATTCTGGCCGTTTGTCGCCACTTTTGACAAGGTTCCAACAGCCAAAAAGTGGAAAATTCTAATAAATCCGCAAGTGTGGAAAACTTTGCACCCACATCAACGCAAAAGCAATTAACACAAATTGCCAAATTACTGCCACAATGCGACGACACAATTTGCTGCCTTGTAAACAGGATGGCAAATTGTGCTGAGTGCATTCAATATAATCAACTTGTCAAAATTGGCACAGATATAAACAAAACAAGCGCCTGAAGAGCACTTCTCTATGGGATTTTATGATCTAGCACTTAATTTGAAATCGAGAGTCTGCTTGGAGGTCTGCGGTGACTCACCTGAATATTTAAGCCACTATATTTAGTGCGCGGCTAATTTTAAGCACAAAATGTCACAAAAATATTACACAATTCACCCATGAGACCATAAAATATTTACCGATTAATCACTTGAGTGAGTAGTTGTAAGATATACAAAAAATGTATCTTTCTAATGACTGGTTTTTATTGATTTATGTGCGAAGCAAACAGTATTTCGATCTGATCGATAAACCGGCAAACACTTCATAATCCCCATGAGTATCATAAAACTGTTGCTGCCGCGATTAAAATAACGCTTACTAAAACCATTCAATGGACGATTGGAGGCAAAGGCCGACAATTTTATAAAATGGTGCATGCCCAAATGGAAAACAAATCTCGAAGGCAATTCGGAAATGTTGAATGAAATTGCCGGGAATAAACAAATACAAAATCGCAGCGAAATTCCATAAAAGCGAATACGATCCGTCATCAACGATTCAGGGGAGAGGATCTAAAGGGGTTCCGGAAAGTATCTGATGAAAATTATACAAAACATTTATTTATTCGTATTTGGGAAGTGGAGAAATGCTCTATGCCAATAATGACGTCACTGGGTATAAAGATAAAATATGAGAAGCCAAAAAGAAATTATTTTCGATTTTTGGCACATGTAATTACACAAAAATTTTCTTGCTCTCGAGAACAGCTGCAAATTTAACAAATTATATGCATGAATCGAACGGAAGGAAACCCCCATACCAAACACTATTGGCATTTTAAACAAACCTCGAAGAATTCATAAAATTTCAAGGGAATTCGGATGAGTGCGGTTCTCCCATAAAGTCGGTACATTATTATTCGCTGAATCCTAGACGATGATAGTGATCCAATTATTTACTCTACTCATATATTATCCATAAATTTTAAAAGTTTCATCTCACTTGAAATTTATGTATGAATGATCTCACCTTTTTGCCATTTGTGATAAACTGTAATTAGTGTGAGAACTACAATCTTATAAAATGAGCAAATGGTTAACATTGTTAATTAACTCTGCCTCCACAATTGATAACATATCTGACAATTTCTCGGCTAAATGTATCCACTTCAGTTACAGTTCAAGAAACTTTTCTTTTCTAAGAATAAATGCTATGGTACAAATTATTACCGGATGTAATACTTAAAGTTTTCAGTTAAACATGATGTAAATTTTTAGGAAATTTATTTTAGTATCATTTATGGTACAATATTCGATTGGTTGGTCAGCGAACAATACCCAAATGATGAGGTTTTGCTTAAAAACTATTTGGACATGTACAACAATGTCATTGTACACTTTAAATGTTTTGATAAGGATCTGATACTGAAAACTACCACCGACCCCGACCACCACCGCCGCCTCCTCTTCCTCTGTTAAAACCGCCTCCGCCGCCGCCACCTCCTCCTCCACCATTGCGACCAGCTCCTCCTCGGAAACCGCCTCCACCTCGTCCGCCGCCACCACCGCGACCACCTGTTGAGATACATAAGTTAGACCTTTGTGTTGCAAACAGTTATTTCATTAGCTTACCTCCTCCGCGGCCGCCACCTCGACCTCCAAATCCACCGCCGCCTCCACCACGGTTATTTGTGAAGGCCTTCTTCGCGCCTTTTGGTTGTGGGGGTTTCGGCAGGAACCTGGCGATCGGTAACAGCTTTCCAGGGTCGATAAAAAGTTTCTGATTTGGCTTGAAGCTGTTGGCGTAGACGTTCTCCGACAGCTTGATGGACACGCTGTAGTCCCGAACTGTACCAAAGATTTCGTCGATTTTGCCTACTTGCTCCTTGTTTTCGAGGAAAATGGGCGCGTTGAAATACGGAACATCCTGAATATCAACTTTGCACACAAGGTCATTTTGGCAGGAGTATACATAGTTGCCCAAGGGGATTACTCTCTCCGGTGGTCCTAGAATGAAAGAAATAAGAAATAACTATTAAAGTAACAACGGAAATTAACATTTGGCAATGTGCCTGAAAGTAGCAAGCAATTAAGACACCATATACCTAATAGACACTTCCAGATGTGTTTTTTTTGGCAGTGTTTGTATATATATGTATAAAGCCCATGATTATAGGCTATAACGGCTTGGCTATTTCAAATATACATAAGTGAACAACGTGGTTTTTGTAGTTCTATTCATACAATCTGTATTAACTGAGTGATTTCTGTTGTGAAGCTATGTTCAGTTCTGTTCAGGTGAGCAGTTATAGAGATAGTTGACGTATTCCATTCACTTACCAGTATCGAAGGCTCCACGGCCGCCACCACGTCCACCTCCTCCTCGGTTGAATCCGCCGCCACCTCCGCGTCCGCCGCCGCCACCGCGTCCACCACCACCTCCTCCAAATCCTCGTCCGCCACCGCCTCCTCCAAATCCTCTACCGCCGCCGCCACCGCCGCCACGAGGTTTACCAAATCCCATTTTCAAATATTATTAATATTGAACGCAAGAACACGTGCGCGTTTCGATTAACCAAAATATTTAGAGACGGACGAAATTCAAATTTCTTTATCGATAGCTGTGGCCATGTGTTTTAGTATATACATTTGCTTACTATATGGTCACACTTGACGAAAGAGGCCCACTTTTTGAAAGTATTTGGCAATAAGGGTATTAAAACTATTTAAATTCAACGACTCAGTAAATTAGAAATAAACCTTCACTCTCAAATTATAAAAACGTTAATTACTTAGGAAATCTCTTTAAAACGTCTTAATGCTTTTAAGCCATATGTTAAAAAATAGTTTAATTAAATATATTTTACTCAGCCAAATGGGTATATCGTACAAAATCCTGGCACTACATATTCACTAAGAGAACACGAAGCACAATGCAAGAGAGAATCCCACACATCATCTGATGCATTTTATATAGGTGACATAGCCACACATATCCGAACAGCTGTTGAGACATCTACCAGAAATATAGACAACCAAACTGAAAATGAAAATTTGAATTTTCTCCAACTACTGAGAGCAGTTGGATGCCAGCTGTGGTCGAGGTAGCGAGAAATACAAGCTAAATCCATTAGACCGTGTCGCGACATCAAAAGAAGCGTATACATACATTTCTATATGCAAATAAATAATATAGCAAAATATTTTAGAAAATTCTCTGAAATTCTAGGGTATACTTTTAAAGTTTGAGAAAGTTCAAAATACTTGCAATACGAAACTGCAATCGAAAGTGATATAATTACCCGAGGCATATTTTCATAAACGGAATATGAACGCCTCGTCGGGTAGTTAAAAATAGATTAATAGATGGCTAGATGACGAGCACGAGCACAAAGATAGATCGCGAAAGTAGCACACGACTTCGGCTGGACAAGATGGAGCAGCCAGTGGACGCCAGGCAGCAGCAGCGCCATCGGAGGCGCCTGGGTCGCAGCCACCGGGAGCAGACGCCCGTCACTGGGGAGCTTCTGCCCCAGGATGATGCCAGTCCAGATGCTCTGCCGGATCCCTCTCCCCAGATGGTGCGCATGCAGATTAGACCACCCGGCTCCCTCTCCGCCCACGAGAGCAAGATCCTACGAAAGCGGGACAAGTCATTTGCCAGCTCCTCGGCGCGCAGTCAATCGCAGCCAAGGGAGGCGGAGAAGCTGAGTAGCCCGGATGCCAATCATCTGATCAAGCATCGCAGCCTTTCCTCGCCGCGGCACAAAGAGGAGTCCAGCGAGAGTGAGCTGACCACCGGCAGCAGCAGTCAGCAGCAGAGGGCCATTCCTAATCTCGGCCAGACACAGGATACGCTTAGCAGACTAGAGCAGAATCTGCAGCGCTTTGAGGACGAACGACGACGTTTCGACGCCGAGAAGCGGCTCTTCGAACGCGAGAAGCGGGAGCACAAGATGCGTCATCGCCAGCAGCTGGACAACGAGGAGCGAAAGCGTCTCCTGCAGAGCTACCGGAAGCTCAGCGATCGCATCCAGCTGCCGCAGGACGAGGAGGAACGTCGCCGCCTTATACACAGCCTACGACTGCAGCGGCACGAGGCGCCCAAGACTCGGGGTCGCAATCGAAGTAGCGGCTACGAGGAGTCCTCCACCCAGTTCAGCTCCTCTGATGCCGATGCGGTGGAGGAAACTCAACCGCGGTCCCGAGCACCTAAGATTCCTCAGGGCTTTGTGGCTGCCCCAATCCGCGGAGCACCTCCACCGCCTCCATCAGTATCGCCAGCTCCAAAACCAAAACCACCGGAAAGGCTCTCTGTTAGTCGCAACAACTCCCTGTCGCCCGTGAGACCCCAGCGTCGATCCAAGACTCCGGAGCAACGGGAGGAGATCATCCGGAAGCACGAGTACTTGGAGGTGGGCGAGTCCAGAGGCGAGGTGATAAAGCCCCGCATCTCGGAGGCAGAACAGCAGTCGGAGTTGATGCAAAAGTACATGGAGGCAGCTGAGCGGGCGGCAAAAGCGGAGGCTGCCCTGGCGGAGCAAATTCTGACGGCCGAGGGAGTGCGACGCAGTCACAGCTTGAGATTAGCTGATAAGGAGGAGAAGCCTCAGAAGCGCAGCTCCAGTTTGGAGCGTCCGCTTAGACCGAAGCGATCGGGCAGCCTGGAAAGGAAAGAACAGGCACCTCAAGACCTTCCTGAAGAAACTACTCTAAATGAGCCGGTTACAGCATCAAAGTCCCTTGGGGAACCATCCTTGTTGCCAAAGGAACTCATCTCAGAAGCGAAACCCAAAGTTACTCTCTGGCAGCGGCTGAAAAATCTGTTTAGGCGAAAGAAGAAGATTCAGGCAAAGGGCGATGACGTCACAGATCTGTCCAAAGAATTGCAGCCGGAGAAGTTGGCTTCTAGGAGTCTTCTGTACAACCTAAGCCTAGAAGCCCGTCATGAATGGAAACGCCTCAAGCTGGACTATCCTCAGAAGGTGGAGGAACTGCGTCAGCTACGCAACAGGTGCATTGCCTATATCATCTGCATGGCCATGCTCTTGGGATTCGGAGGACTCCTGTTCCGGTACACGGAAGGAGCCTCGGAGAATATATACAAGTGCGAGGTGCGCAAAGTGAAGCGGGATTTCATAGACAGGCTGTGGGACGTCAGCCACAACATGAGGTAGTACCAGCGACCCAGAGTGGTGGCCCAGTTCAGTGAGTGATTCATTTGTATCTTTGCCAGAGAGGAGGACTGGAAGTCTCTTGCCCGCCAGAAGCTGCGCAGCTTCGAGGATGAACTGAATAACTTAGCCGAGTTGGGGCTACGCCGTTATCCAGGCCAAAAGTCTTGGAACTTTGTCAATTGCTTCATCTTCTGTTGGACCGTAATTACAACCATAGGTATTGGGATATAATAATCATCCACAAGTGCTTAATCAGACATCTAAAAATCTGCATTCAAATTTAGAAAATTTTTTTTTTTGTATGATGTTGAGAAATTCAAAAATATTAAAACGGGTATCTGATAGCCGGGGAACTCGACTGTAGCATTTTATCTTGTGTTTTTATTTTTAAGATGTACATATATTAGATAATTTCCATTTTAGGTAAATATTTTAAAGAATAGATTTAATCACTCCACCTTCTTTACCTCCTTTACTTATTTAACTTACTTTTCCTTTCCAGGTTACGGCCACATTACTCCAAAGACGGGCATGGGGCGATCCCTGACCATCGTCTACGCCATCATCGGCATCCCCATGTTCCTGATCGTGCTGGCCGATCTGGGCAAGCTATTTACGCGCTGCGTCAAGTTCCTGTGGGTGTATGTGCGACGGATGTACTATACCCGCTCCTGCCGCAGGATACGGAAGCAACAGCAGATCCGGAGCGCCATGACAGGCATCAACACGATGTACGACATGGCCATCCGCAGGCCGAGCATGTTCTTTGGCAACTCCGGCGCAGATAACGACGAGGAGTCGCAGGCGGACGCCGAGGCTGCAAGATCGGTGGGCACCTCGCACCCGGAGACACCCACATCGCCCTATCCAGAGACCTTCGAGGTGGACGACGAGTTCAATTTGCCAGTGTCGGTGGCCTCGCTGCTACTCATTACGTACATCCTCCTGGGATCCTTCGGCTTTCTAATTATGGAGCCCGAATGGACCTCCTTGGATGCCTTCTACTACGTGTTCATCTCGATGTCCACAATTGGCTTCGGCGACCTGGTGCCCGGTAATCCCTTTTACGTGATGGTCAGCATGATCTATCTGATGTTCGGCCTGGCCCTGACCTCCATGTTCATCAACGTGGTGCAGATCAAGCTGAGCGACCACTTCAAAATGGCCAGTGCTAAGGTGGGCGCCACCATTGGCATGAACATGGCCAGCGAGCTTGGGGATGATGGTGGCTCCCAGGTGAAGACTCCCTCCGAGCTGGCCTCGGTGCATGGTTCGCGACTGGACAGGATCGAGGAAGATGGTCAGGAGGCGAATGGCAATGGCCACTCCTCGGTGCCACCGTTGACCTCGATCCTGCGGGCACCACGTCCTCTATCGCCCGCGTCCAATGGAGTGGATGCTATTGGAGTTGGAGGAGATGCAGGTGGAGATGGGAATGTCACTCCGCCACCTCTGCTGCCCAGGCGTCAGGTTTCCGTGGATCCCCAGCCGCCGGCGGAGGGGGAGAACAAGAAGAAGAAAAAGCATAGGTTTTTCTAGAATTCTTGGGATCTTTCACCTACCTAAGATGCCCCAAAAATCCGACATAGTTAACGTGTAAGAAACCCCAAAAATGACAAGGCAATTTCAATCGAATTTACCGGAACGCTGTTCTGCGAAAAACTCTATATTCATTTATTTGTTATTTAATTTTACTCAACATCATCGTAGCATAAGTCTAATGTTAATGAAATAAAGCGCGCGAGTTGACAACGCAAGTGACTGTTTTTAATTTCCCTTTAACAAAAGTGGCTATTAGTATTTTGAATAATACAAATCATAAATTGACATAATATCGCAACATTCCATTATCCTGTTATCCGCGCGGAATTGTGCCCAATCCGGAATGCAATTATCAGAAGCATATGCTTTCTACGGGAATGCGTCCCAAAATCCCAGTGACAAGGAACCCCCACTCCAAACCAAATGCAGTCGGCAGCTGCACATCTGTCGCTCGTAGGATATGGAAGAGGAAGCAGGCACTGGAGGAGAGAGCCATAGAGAGCGAGTGGTGGAGAGAGCGGTGGCTCTCTGCCTCTCTTGCGCTGACACACGACAGGACGGCATGCTTCGTGCTCCAGCTTCGGCTGGCATTCGTGTGTCTGTGCCGTTCCCATGCCGTTCCGCCGCGAGGAGTTCGCCTGAGTTGACGGCTTCTAGTGGTCGCCAGTTGTTGTTTTGGCAGCGTGCGGTTCGGTCGACGGGTTACATCGCCTTCTCTCCTCTACCAAAATAAAGAGGCGCCAAATTCACTCAGTTGGCCAATATCACACGCAACTCAACGAGCACGAAAGTGTTTGCCAAACAATATATGTAGATTGCATATTATACTGTAAATATATGTATGTATAGGCGGAACTCGCTCAGTGGCTAAAGCAAACATTCAGTGCCCCCGATCCGGAGAATTTCAATCGATCGCGTCGGTAGAAAAAGAGAGCGAGAACAGAAAGAGCCGGCTGTTGGCTTCAGTCCTCACATCCTCACCCCCGAACACCCCTTGATTTTTGGTGCCGCGTGTGCTGCAGTACTACACTACCACAAACTACAAAATATACCATACAAACGGACGCCAGGTGTGCTAATACATAGTTTCAGTGCCTTGGACTTGGCCGATTCTTCAGATATTTTGGTAACCCATCGGTTTTTGTTTTGCTGCATTCATTCGCATTTAAGGAGTCCCTTTTCAAGGCAAATCCCAAACAGCTGTCACTCCGAATATTGCCAAATGCCTCCTCATCGGATCATCAGAGCCGCGTAGTTTAGTGTAAATCGGCATACAGTGTACATTACTTTGTGAAATCTACTGCTACAGTTGCGAAAATGTCGGCAATCAACAGTCGTAATCAGAAAATGGAACAACAGGTAAGCCCAACACTCCTTTTTGGGAAAATAATAAGATCGATCCTGATTCGTCGAACTTCTATATTATGTTCAGTCTTGGTTAGGCAGTTGGATATTTACACGGTTTGCCAATATTATTTTATTGAAATAAAGTTATTAGGAATGTGGAAAATGTGGATATACCCTTTTAAAAACATCAAACACTTGGGAGGAATCATTTGAGCAATCGTTTAAACGACGTGTTAAATAAATATGAACTAATGTATCAAGCTTTGTCATCTGCAACATCATCCACTTTTCGCGATTCTCCAAACCGATAGAAAGATCAAGATTATATTCAATAGGAATTGGCCTTATCAATAGGAATAGGCTGTAGTCTTTATTTTCTAGCTGAAATAGAAAGCTAAGGTGTATATTTGTTAGCATAGGGTGACTAACTCAGTAACTCTTACCTTTTGGCATTCCCTATTTTAAAACCTTTAAAAAATGTTCCCTCATATCCATTGTCATTGTTTCCCCGTGATAACATCACAAAATAGCTTTCCTTCTACCCACAAAGTGGCTAAACGAAACCAATAAATCCTATACTATAACAAAACCAATTTGTAGATACGAGTGCTATTAAAGTTTGGCTTTGCCTGAAATCTTTAAGAACAATTTTCATTTGACCATGAATCACGGCAAGTTAGCACTGCCATTTTAACTCTTCCAAGCCGACGACTCGTGAATGTGGTCTAGAATCAGGAAAATCCTCTCCTTTCTTGGCAAGTTTGGGCAGCCCAGAGCAATCAGCACCAGCCCAAAGGCAACCATCAGCCGGCATTGTCCGGAATTGTTCAGTTTTTACCCTCGAAGCTGACCGCTCTAAATGAGCCACATTTTAAGGCAAAAAAAAAAGAGAATGAAACACCCAAGTGGCCCAACGCCTTTTCCAAATGGTTTTGTTGTGCCCGATTTCTCGTGGCCAGGTGTTCGTCTGTTGTCCTGGCAACGGCGTCCAAATAAATCGAAGCGAAGCTCCGGTGGTGCAGTTGCTGCAGTCCGATTCGATTGTCATTGGCCCTAATTATGTTGGGTGGCACGGAACGCCCAAGCAAACCGCCCCACCAAAAAGCACCCTCCCTCACCCACCGCATCATAAATCGAATCCCTTCGATGTGGTTGAGTTTGGCTGCCAAGTGTTCGAGGTTCTGGGTCCTTCGAGTTGGTTCGATTTCGTGCCGCGTTGGCTTATAAAACATTGAGCAGCTATTGACAGCTTCTGTGCATGGAAGGACATTATGAAAACATTATGGCAAGTAATTTCAGCTACAAATGAAATAGCTTGAAACAAATTGTGCTTGCTCAAAAATAAAAAGCATCTAAGGAGCGGATTACATTTTGATTGAATTTCTAAATTTAATCATCTCACAAATTCCTATGAAATAACACATTTGCGATTACCATTTCAAAGGAGTTTCTTTGAAAAGCGTTTGCTTTATCACTGTCATTTTCAAATACGAGAATAAATATGATAAATATTCACTTGCTGCGACAAGCTCATTTTCCTTGCACGATAATCTTTCTGAACAGTTGTGTTGGGTCATTTTCTCGAGCTTAAGCCAACACAAATTTATTTCCGCCATAAAAAAGAGAATGTAGCACAAAAAAGGAGAGCTGTGGAGCCAATTTACACTTGGCATAAATCAACTGCAAGATATATGGCAGTCAACTCATAAAGTGCTCGCTAAATGTACACAAAGGATTAATAAAGTCTTCGGCCTGGACGACCACTAACCCACAATGTAGTAGCCTTTCTTTGGTTGGTGTCCTGCGTCACTATGGGCAACTGCACAGACACACATATACAAGCCCAAGCAGACAGGACACCATAGTATCTAGTATCCCTATAGGGACACAGACAGACAGCCAACTAGAAATATACACAATACCATTGTTTGGCATTGTTTTCGTGTTGCCATCACCCGTGGAACACCATTAACCGAGGGCACAAAATCGATTCCCGGCTGGTGACGAGTACTTCAGCTCTGCGAGGAACTGAGCCACAGGATAATGCCCAGTAATAAGTCACTACTGCCACATATGAATATAATATTTGCTTTCCGCAAGTCGCCTTAGCTTTTCCTCACGCATACCGTAAAAAGAAACATTTCGTCCAAAAAAGGATATGACGCACCGCCTTTTCCTAATAAGTTATATGCGTACATTAGGGTGAACCTCACGCTTTAAACGTGATTATTACATTATAATTCAAACAGAAAAGGGATATTTTCTCTAAATTATCAACTTTCATTTCATCAAATGAACTAGTTTTATTCGATGTAGTTAAAAGATACATTTTAATGGTCATATTTCTAGCATTGAGGATATGGTCCACCCTCGTATATTAGCCTTGCTTCATTTAGCTTTACGGCTTTTGCTTCTTGTTTCGGCCCTGTAATTTGCTTTCTGTTGCTTCAAAACCGAGGTTCTTGACCCAACGAGATTAAAATACCGGCTAAAACCAAATCGAATTTACCAAATTTTCGCCTGGCAGCCAAACACGGTGGTTTAATATTTAATAAGGATACGACAAGGTATTAAATGTGCATTTGGAGCTGCCACTATGAACTGATTGATTGTTTCGGTAAGAGCTGTATTATTTGACTTCTGTCTCAAATGACCTGACAAAATAAAAATAATAACAGAAACTTTTTGATGAACAATTTTCTGGTAATTTTCCATGGTTGACAACAGATAATTTAGAAAAAGGAAACTCACTTCCATTAAGGCCAAAATTATATGGAATCGAAAGACATCCTGCTATGTTTTTGATTTATGAGACGTTAGGCACCTAAAATCCCCAACGATGTTCAATGAAAAGCCCAAGCTGCATTGGACATGCATCCAAATGAGTTTAAGCCAAGGGGAAAGCAGAACCACTCAGGTTACCTAAAGAGCGATTCATTTTCAATTAAAGCCAACAGATTTTGACACATATACTAATAGCTGGCAATAAATTGCAGGACGAAAGCGTTCATAGCTGTGCTGAAATTTCTTTTCAACAGCTCGTTTTTCAGTTTATGTCCCTGCCATTTTCATTTGGCTAAAACTGCAGTTGCCAGTTGCCAGCTTAGTGGACAAGCTGCAAACTCCAATTTCGTTTCCCATTGGGGACTTTAAACTTTTCCCGGCCGAAGGAAGGACATCACTCAAATGCTGAAAAGTATTACGCAGAGAAATTGTGGAACATTTTCGGGTTTACCCACAGGAACATTAAATTTAAACAAAAATGAGGCTACTAATAAAGAACAATCCTTAGGTATACACAACTGTGTATTGCGCCAGTGAAAATATTATGATGCGCCATGAACAAGGCATTAAATTCCATTTTTCTGTAAAAGTGACACCATTTCAAATGCAAAATAAAGCGAGCCAGCTACTGTGACATAAATTAGAAGCTTGGGAATGTTTCGTCGTCCTTGCAGGACCTCATTTCATTTGCAGATTTCATTAACTGCAATTTGCTGGTGCGTCTGCATCCGTAGGCGGCAAACTTGATTCAATTTATCAGACACAAAGTTTCGGCGTCACCATCAGCCACTCTGGCCACAGTTCCCTATACACAGGATTCGAGGAGCAGCAGCATCCTGCATGTGGCAAATTAATTACATCCCCGCGAGAACTGAAAACTTTCGGCACACGGGTTTTGCCACCTAAGTGCAGCGGTTTTTCCGATTTCCCAGGAAAAACCAGTTTATTTCATTCCGTAAATAAATACATCTGCTTTAATTGGCAAACTTGTGGCGGCTCCCTTTTCGACTTGCATGTACATATGTTATAAGGAAATATTTTGCAAATATATAGCCACAATCAGTAAACTGACAATGGCCAATATTGAACAAAGAATTGCAATAAATTAAAATCACACTTCTGAATGTTCACTGATAAACGTTTTAGCACACTGAAGTTAGCCGTGTCAGGTTTTATTTTACAAAATTACTAGCGTTAATAGGTACACACATTCACAACACTTTCATTTAAGCAACTGCATGGCTATTTTTGCAGTGTATGGAAAAATGACCAATTAAATTGAAATGTCTTTAATCGCCTTTTGCCCAGTGGTTGTGTATTGCGGTCCGCTGTCACACGTGTGGTTTGATGTAGTTTGCTGTGGTTTGCTGCGGCTTGCTGCGGCTGCTGCAGCTGAAGCTGCAGCTGACAGTTTGCAGAGCTCACGTCACTGATTAAGTGGTCGGGTGGTCTGTGGCTTATTCTTTCCCAGGTAAAATCCATGTTGTATATAGCCCAAACCTGCAACTCCCATCAAGAAGTCCTTATCCCGGGATTAACTTTCAGTCCAAAAAGGATGTGCTCCTAATTCTGCGCTTAACACTCAACAAATTGATTACTTTGCAGCCTTATTTAATATTAATGCAAATTCTGTTTGCCAACAACAGGGGCGATTATTTGCACTTGTCTTTTTCAATTGCAAACTAATTAGGCCATTTATCTGGTCGGTAATTAAAATGCATAAAGGTGTGGATTGGTAAAATCCAGTAATGGCATTTGGCGAAATGAAAACGGCACTCGAAAGGGCAGTACGAAATTAAAAGCAACTGAAGGATACGTTAATACAAATGGCTTATTTAATAACGTTCACTCGGGCAGAGAGAGGAAATCGTTGACTTTACTTTGCTTTATTACGAAATCTTGTCTTTTCAGCTTGCAATGTCCTTGCTGGAGTGCCCTTCATATTCAGTACATTCAGGTGGGTGAGGGAAGTAAAATGGTGGAACAGCATTTAGTGGCCTTTCGCCATTCACTCAACTGAGATTTTTCCTTGCCGCTTTTCTTCTTGACAAAACGCACAAAACGAAAATGTCGCAATGGACCTTAATAGTCAGATTATTCCTTGTTGCCATCTTGCACAAGTCGCCAGATTTATGACACTTGCTTTTTGCCACTTTTTTCCACTTTTTGCGACTTTTACCCGGAGATCTCAGCATTTTCAACTGCTGCATGAGAAACTGCTGCAAGCC